CAACAACAAACAACTAAGCTTCCAGACCAGTAGTTTTAGAGATTATCGCAATCTAATAGACATACAAAGGAACTGCACCTTAAGTTATATATTATAACTATACAATACGATACGATACTACCGACTCACCCTTGCTTCGCTCTGATTCGTCCCTAGGTAAGGTATTATTATTTTTTTGCGCGGAACCCTAATTATTTTTCTAAAATAAAAATAGCCTAAGTTACCTTCGCTTTATAACCTCAGCTATCTGCCAGTGAAATTCCGGTCAAAATCGGTTCAGCCGTTTCGGAGATGGAATTTAGAACCATATACTTACTTAATTAGATAGATACTTAATTTGATTTAAATGTCTTATCACTTACTATCTACATATATAAAACAAAGTCGGGTTTGTTACAACATTGACTCGAGAACTGCTGGACCGATTTTTATGATCTTTATTTTGTTGGATTTGTCTTTATCCCGAATAGCAGAATAACTAATAAAATATCGGGAAAATTCACGAAAAAAATATTGTAAAAAAAAAACTATGCCGTACTAAGCGTCAAAACGTATATAGGGACGAACCTGAGCGAAGCGAGGGTGAGCCGCTAGTTATTAATATCAAACAGTATAATTTCCTTTTGTAAAAACAGATGCTATTTAGTATGTACATATATACTAATAAAATAAAGAGGTTAAGTTTGTAAGCTCGTATGTAGGGGATAATCTCTGAAACCACTAATCCGATTCTGATAATTCTTTCACTAATAGCTATATTACCGCTGAGTATTACATTTTAATCCGAGAAAAATGTGTTTACTCTCTGAAAAATGTGTTTACTCTCAGAAATCCATCGATCAAAAAAGTATTAGAAACAGATAATAAAAGCTTTTTTAAAACAACTTAAAGCAATGCATTTAAGATTCAATTTACATTGTTGTATATTTATTTCAACTAGAATAATTACGTAAACATAATTGGTGACAGTTTTAAGATAATTTTGCTTGGGATTGTATATCTAGTACTCTAATTTTGATTTGATCATGCCATCAATTACATATAAAATGTTTTTTGAAAATGATATTTTATGAGGATTATTTGGGACTGACAAAAAAAATCTATCACACGGGGTCAGTATATTTTTGCGGGATAAAAAATAATCTATGTATGTGCTATTCCAGACTATAATTTATATATGTATAATGAAAATTTCATCCAGATCCGTTCAGCCTTGTCCCTTAAGGGGGTGAAAATGGGGATGAAAGTTTGTCCATGGAAACAACCTAGGGACGAACCCGAACGAAGCGAGGATGAGTGGCTGGTTTATAATATTAGTAAGTACATAATGAAATCTACAATATTTCGTGTTTAATCTACCGTCGCTCAAAATTGACTGAACTGATTTCGACGAAACTTTTTTATTTCATAGATTAGATTCTTCTTCTACCAAAGAGTAATATTTAGTAGTTAAATAGAAATACATATATACTGATGTCTTATTTATTTTATATTATATCTCGCCCCAGACATTTTGTACTGTAAGTTATTTGATCGACATGTTTATAATAAATAATATAAATATCTAATATATTAAAGTTAAGGTCACTTGCACCAAAAAATTTAATTTTATTTAAATGCATTTTCTAAACTTCACTACATATCAAAGTCCCCTGCTACACTGAGTTTATATAATTCGGGCTAACGTTAAGTTGCTAAAATTACTGCACAAATTTTCATACGATTTTCACTACTAAAAAGTACAAACAAATCTAGGAATGAATGACGTATAACCGTTATGCCAATATTTGTGAATTAAAAAGGAAAAATTGAATTAAAGTTTCCGTAATATTATAAAAGCGAGGGTGGGTCACTAGTGCATATTTTGATAATATTATAAGTGTGAAAGTGTGTTTGTTTGTCTTTCACGTCAAAACAGAGTGACAGATTTGCGTGTTTTTTTTGTGGAGATAGTTGGAGGGCTGGAGAGTGACATCGGCTACTTTTTATCGCGGCAGATTATCTCATTCCCACGGAAAAAGACATTATAATTTATAATATAACCCACAACAACTCATCATACCTATGTGTATATATAATATATAGTCTAACTATTCCATACTAAGTGTTAAAACGTATCTAGGGACGAACCCGAGCGAAGCGAGGGTGAGCCGTTAGTTAATACATTTAAATCAAAAAAAAACAATATGATGCAAGTATAAAAAATAGATAACCCTGATCACGTGTCCGCATAACTTAGGGACTAATTCTCCGATCATCGAATAAAAATTACTTAAAGAATATAATACGATCATTACACTAGAATAAATAAACTACATACCTACTTCAATTATTCCCATTTTGATTTCAATCAGGCTATAAATGGACCGTGTCATGCAGAAATATATTTGTACTGTCACAGAAAATGTATTTACCTTTAAAATCTAGATAGGTATAACTAAGGACGCACCCTCGCTCCGCTCGGGTACATTTGCTTAAAAAATAGGTACTGGTGGGAGGGTGAAAAATACTTTACGACCTAATCAATCTTTAAAATCGGTCGAGCCGTTTCTTCACGAGATATTTATATATTAGATTATAATATAAATACTAAATAGGTAAAGACAAGACAGTTCAGTACTTTTTTCTCCTTTATATTTTTGTCAACTTTTTTATTTCTTTCAGCAGCTTTTGACGAGCTTTTTTATTATCGATATAAAAATCTTCAAACAGTTAGGTTTCTTATATAAATTTAATTCTATCTATATATGTTTTCCTCAAATTTTCAATAATATTATGATCGACTTTCGACCACATGACGAATACTGGCCTACATAAAAACATGCGAAGAAGAAAACTTTGTCCCTCTTTCAAGGCATATTGCGCGTAAGAATATAATTATACCAAAGCTCATACGACGCGTATAAGTTGATATTTGTCAATGAAAAAGGAAAAATCTGATAAAAGTTTCCGTAATAGACGACGCGTATGAGCTTCGGTATACGTAAAGTCTATATGTTAAGAGGTTCATATGTAAAGGGACTGTAGAAAGCTATAATTTATTGACTAGCGCTTGCCCGCGGCTCCGCTCGCGTGTTAATTTATGTATGTTGATAATATGAATAATTACTCCGCTTTTAAAAACTGCATTGTGATGTTAAATGTTAAGCTTTAACCTTCATAATTTTTATACTGATATATAAAGCTACAGAATTTATTTGTTTGTCTGTACGATAGCTAATTTCTAATAACGGGTCCGGTTTGAGACAACCTTGTTACAGAAGTACTACTTATGTTACTTTGACAAATGAACCTCGATAACGTCCAAAGAATTTTGATCGATTTTGACCACGAGGCGATCACTATTATTTATTAATATAATATCTAATAATATCTAATAATATCTAGTGCGACTTGGAATATTTCTACACAACACAGTCTAATGTATAGTGGTCCTAATTAAAAAAAAAATTACTTATTGTCGGGAAATCACAGATACATATGACATTTACTTAAATAATATAATTCATTTCTTACTAAAAATATAACACACAATCTTATAGTAAAAGCTCTTTACCTAATGGACTGGATCCCATCAACCCATTCTTTTAATGGAGCACTCCGAAATACTCCCATCTCTCTCTAACGTACCAAATATTATTATAGTAAGATAAGGAAAAATGCATTTCAATTTATTAAATACCGTTAGGTTAACCGTACATTGCAGTATTATCGTAATTTAAATATTTATAACTTAATAAAGAGTTTGATTTCATGAATTTACATTGCATTTATAGATGATTAGAAGCCGTACGTTTTACTAATCGGCAATAACTAATGAAGTAAAGTAAAATATTTACAATGTACGGTTATTCTAAAAGTAATGTTTGTTTATAATTTACTTAAATATGTAATATAATTGAGGAGCGTCGGAACAAAAACCGATTAATCACATTTGTGTTTTTGTGGAAAAAATGTAAAAATATGGCCAAGTTCATGGTTTTCTAATTTAGAGTTAAACGAAATCTATCAATTTACTGGTTAGCATCACTGTCTAGAAACCTAAATTCTCTAAAAACAAAAATATTAATTTTCACTCTAATTCGGATTTACAGAGAGGCATCATAAAAAAATATATATCAAAATATGATTTATCGGTTTTTGTTCTGACGCTCCTCAATTCTCATCTGATTTTGAACTAAAATTTTACCACAGTAGCCAATCCTACACGAAAATCAGTCGAAATGCTAGCAGTTACCTAACATCGATTAAAGGGACAATACTCCATGAATAGTGTATCTTATTAATATAATTTTTCTTTACATGAAAATAAAAAAAATAATTAAGAAAATATTTCTATTAAGTACAGATTTACTTATAGTTGACTATTAATTCAATTATATTTGTGTTATTTTAAGAGAGTATTGCCACTTTCTCGACAGTGTGTGTTTATTGTATTGGCACTTCGGATCTCTAATATCACATCGCCTTTTCACCAGGCTCTTTAAACTCCTTGGAATCAAAAACAACAATATCGTCAGAGCAAAGCTGATTTTAGAAGACATTAATGAGAATCTATAAAAATATACTATTTTTAATATACATATAGGTGAATAAAAGAGGAAAAATATTAATTTTCATATGGTATCCCTAAATATTTTAAAATAAATTTTAATTTAACACATCGTATACTTATTGCACTCTCGATATATCTTGCAAATGATCAATCATATTAAAAATCATTATCCAAAATCACATTTGCTTTGAGATCAAAATATATAAACTCTTGTGGAACAACAACACTCAAGTAAAAATCGGACCTTGATAACATTACGTAGACATAATAACATTAAATAACAATCATAAACAACAATGTAGCTTCAAAGGGATTCTTTAATATATACAGAAAATAATTTGATTTATCCTATAATTTCATACGATACCAAATTTTAGTTAACAAAAATATGTATATAATTATTAATAAATAACTATAACAACTCATTGACCCAAGGCAAGAACTAACCATCCAAACCGTTCACTACGAGCAAATATTCAGATACCGCTACAGTTATTATCAAACACACATAACCACTATAACGAACCGTTTTCAAAAAACCCCATGTCTTAACACAGAATACCGTCAAAGATAATAGATGCAAATAACTATGAGGATTGACTATCCTCCATAATCCTGTTGCGAAAAAAAACGTCCCGGAGGTAAAAACAGCCTCTCGCCGCGTCACATCATAATCTGTACGATTCTCTAATAACTCTTGATATAAATCTATATATCTATTCCACGCTAATGAAGATAGCACCATTTGACCAGAAAACAAACCAAGCACTTGGACCATCCTTTGAAACGTCACTTTTGTTTTATAGGAAATGCCTATTTCCGACGTATTACCTTTCTCTATATCCTCTGTAGAGTTGATTTCCTTTAACTGATGATATGGTAACGTACTCACTGGTGTGTCCTTGTAACCTCGCCTGGGTGGGTTATTTTTTAAATAAAACAGGATGCCTATCATCATAGCTGTAACGCCTATTAAATCACAGATGCCATCCACCCAGTATCCTAATGAGCCGACTTCAGATCTCTCGCCCTTGATATGTTTCCTTTCTCTCGCTACATGGCCATCCAGATCGTCTAGGAACATTCTTATTTGAAAAAGGACTATCGCGACTCGCCTTGCCGCTAGACTCTGACAGGTTAGCAATTTGGCCCCAACAAAGGCGATAAATACGTGAAAGAAAGATATCATATTGGGTGTTAAAAATAACATTCTCTCTGAAATACCCAAACCCATATCGACGATAGCGCATAGTGGGCCGTATATATAATGATTTATGTGATCGACCATCAAGGCTTTCACGGTCGGGTGGCACAGAGGGTTTATGTTACAAGGTATCCAGGTTACATCTTCGTAGTTCTGTTGTGATTTTATCGTTTTGTGAGTCGAAGACTCTTGCGTTACATTCTCTATGTGCTCGAATATATCAATTTTGTAATTTTGTATCCTCAAAAATAGGAAGGTGTCCATGTAAATGCAATATACGACTATAATAAGGAGGAGAAAAGTTAAAATTTTACTCGCTTGTGAAGAAGGCCACATCATTTTGAATAACTATGGTGAGATTTACACATGCAGTTAATCCTGGCTTTTTATAGCCAAGGGCGTGAGTGGAGTCGTGTAGGGCTTCAGTCAGAACTCTAACAATGCGTAATACATTTCGATATACCACAGATGTTTTTAATAACACGTGGGTTACGAAACAATCCACAAATTTCTATTTATAACAGCATGGAACCGCCTTTTGCTCTCTAACATTGAATTTAAATAAATTCTTAGACATACTTAATCCAATCAAAGGCGTTTCATTTGTACATTTGTCACGTTTATCAACAAACGTTTACAGCAAACAAAATTTGCTGTTGAACCACAGTAGAAACAAAAACATTTTTCACAACACTAAATCACAAACTTCGCTCAAAAACTTGTTTTATGGAACGTAAAATAGTTTGTAAAATCGATGCCCTGATCGCGCGAATATCGGTTCAAAATCACTTTGATTCAAAGAATGGTCGAACAAAAGGTTGATATACACGAGAGTGTGTCTATTTAATAATACGAAAACAGTTTATCCATAATGTTTACATAACGTTCGTGGTGTTGAAGTGTAAAAAGTGTCTGCAGCGTGCGTGCGCATTTCGCCGCGCCGTTAGACCGAATGTTGTTCAGCCTTTGCCTTCAACCGTCAACGAAACACAGAATCTCTTCCCGCCAAAGCGGCTGTCAAACGTCAGTGTGACCTTGCAGGAGGAATAGTAAAACGGGCTGCAGTTACTACATAATAATAATAATATATACATATAAATAAAATTGAAGTGTTTGTTTATAATGTCAAAATAAAAGCTTATTACGAAATGCATATGAAATTATATACGATACTTATAAGAAAAACACATTTTTTTTGTCTGTCTATTTTTCCGGCTAAAACCTCCGAAACGGCTGGACTGATTTTGACGGGAGTTTCAATTTTCTGATAGCTGATGTTATGAGGCCTAACTTAGGATGCTTTTATTATAGTAAAAGAGTAAAGTTTCCGCTCAAAAAAAATTAAAATGTACCTAGAGACGCTCCCGAGTGAAGCGAGGGTAATTCGCTAGTATATTACTATAATAAAATACATATTCTGAGTCAAATGACAATGAAACCTATGTCGCGATCGTTTTTTTAAATTCAAATCTTAAGGAGATGAAAGACTGTGGTAAAATTTAATCTTTGAGCTTTACTTGAAAATATACTACGATTAATAATAAACTTAGTAATAATTAGTAAATAAGTATTACTACAATTCTAGTAATTTTGGAAGTTTCTAGAACAGACTAGAAAAGTACATAAGCATACATAAGGTTGCCTTGTTGTTTGTACTTTTCTAGTGGATCGAGATCCCACTGCAAGATTACTACGTTCATAGCGTATTTAATCGATTTTTTTTTTATATACAATAATAAAAGGGACAATATGTTTTGACGCGGTGCCTATACAAATTTGCCCGCTAGTATGTTTAATTAACTAAATAATAGTTGACTTTTTGGAATAAAAACGATGCATTTGTTATTACAATGAATTATACTCCACTTCACAAAACTATACGTAGAGATCTTGAAAAATTATAGCTGCCGGTTCGCATTTGGCCGCAACCTCTTTGCAGCCAGGTATAAGCGGGTCATATTTTGGTATGTTTATGCGTTCATAGCGTACATGCATCATTTATATATCAAATTAAAGCTAATTTTTTTCTGTGCATGATAAAATACCTCTACCTATGTAAAAGTGGCCCCAAAGGAAAGAAAAGAAGGAAAGAATATAATATGTCATTTGTCAGACAATAGCAATGGTTACCATGGCAAAGATAGATTAAGGTGAAAAAGAGTTGAGCGTTAGTTATCTACTTATATATTTATTTATTTATTTATTTACTTCTTTTTACACATTGTATCAATTCAATGATCACTTGTGTACGTCAATTAGAAGACTTAAACTAAAGCTACGAGGGTTCGTAACGCGCCCTGGTCTGAGAAGAACCCACAAGAAACTCAGCCAAGTAACATTTTTTTTTTGTGATCATTGTTTCACAAACATCCTTACTTCAGTATAAAGAGCAATTCATTCCCAAGCTTTTTTATCACTTAAATAATCCTTTACATTATAATAGGATTTATTTATTAATTGTCTTTTAATGTAAATTTTAAATTTATTTATTGACAGTTTTAAAGTATCATCTGGTAGTTTATTGTAAAAGCGAATACTATTACCAATAAAGGAATTACCAATTTTATGGAGCCTAGTGGTGGGCTGAACTAGCTTATTTTTGTTTCTAGTGTTTACATTATGCAGGTCACTATATTTCTTGAATTTATCAATATTTTTATGTACATATATTAGATTTTGATAGATGTATTGGCAGTGTACAGTCATTATTTTAATTTCTTTAAACTTATTCCGCAAAGATTCTCTTGGGCCTAAATTATATATAGCTCGAACAGCCCTTTTCTGCAGCACAAAAATTGTGTCAATATCAGCAGCATTACCCCATAGTAAAATACCATATGACATAATGCTGTGAAAATAGCTAAAGTATACTAACTTAGCTGTCGTTACATTTGTTAATTGACGTATTTTCTTAACCGCGTAGGCTGCAGAACTGAGCTTATTCGATAATTGAGAAATATGAGGGCCCCATTGGAGTTTGGCATCTAATGTAATGCCTAGAAATACAGTGGTATCAGCTAGATCTAGTTCCTCATTATTCAGTCGTACATTGGTTTTTACACTTTTAACATTTGGTAAAGTGAATTTTACACATTTTGTTTTTTTCTCGTTTAGTAAAAGGTTGTTGACATTAAACCATTGTACCACTTTGGATAAAGCAATGTTCACATCGTCAATTACTGCTTGTCGTCTGTTAACTTTAAAAACTAAAGATGTATCATCAGCAAACAAAACTATCCCGTGGTCATCCTTTACGAGGTATGGTAGGTCATTTATATAAATGAGGAACAAAAAAGGACCCAAAATTGAACCTTGTGGTACACCCATTTCAACAACTGATCCAGGGGAACGCTTTCCATTCACGTCTACCCTCTGGATTCTTTCATTCAAATATGATCTAAGTAAATCCAGAGCCTTATCTCTAATTCCGTAGTGGTGTAATTTTCTGACCAACGTTTCATGATGAACGCAATCAAATGCCTTGGACAAATCACAGAAAATGCCAAGTGCATCACGTGACTCCTCCCAGGCCTCAAATATATTTAGAAGTAACGCGACTCCAGCATCGGCTGTTGAACGACCGCGAGTGAAACCGTATTGCTTTACATGTAATAGTTCATTATTATAAAAATGTTTCGTAATTTGAGTTAACATTATTTTTTCAAAGATTTTACTAAATGTAGGTAATATTGAAATAGGCCTAAAATTAGTGGCATCAGAGGTACAACCCGATTTAAACAAAGGAATAATTTTACTAAGTTTCATTAAGTCAGGAAACACACCAGATTCTACACACTTATTAAATATTAATGCTAAGTCAGATGCAACAACATCAATAAGTGGTTTAAGGATGCTAACAGAAATTCCCCAAAGATCTTTTGTTTTTTTAACATTCAGTAATTTAAATACATTTATAATTTGTTGTGCATTTATATTTTCGAACTTAAAGCTAATATTGCATTCTTCCACATTTTGTTCCAATAATTTGATCGCAGTGGCAGGTGAAGAGTTCAGAGACCTTGTAGTGGAAACTGGTATGTCGGTAAAAAAGGTTTCAAACGCGGCGGCTACCTCAGAGTCAGAACTAATGTATTTATTATCTATATTTAATTTAAAGCTATTGTTTAGAGTTTTACTCTTTCCAGTTTCCTCGTTAATTATTTTCCATGTAGCTTTAATTTTATTACCACTATTTTCTATCTTGTTACTCAGATAATGAGAATATATATATATATATATATATATATATATATAAACCACTATCAAAAATTCTTATACAATTTTATTTTATACAGACCTTTGAACTCATAATATCTCATTCGTCATATTATTATTGATTATTCAGAAATGTTGTTTGAAAAATGCACGCCACAAACACATGATGGGATTCTTCTAATAAACTCTGTCCCTAGCTTCGCTCGGATGCGTCCCTAGGTATGTTTTAATTTTTTTGAGCCGATCCCTAATTCTTTTTCTTAAATAAAAGTAGCCTTAATTACTCCTTATAAGTTATAACTTGTCAACGTCAGTCCAGCCGTTTTGGAGATTAGCCGGAACAAACAGACAGATAAACAAAAATTTAAAAATTGACTTTTTTACACCCCTGCACCTCGGAGTACACGTGAAGCTGTCCGTCTTTGCACGCACTTATGTGCGTACACTCTCAGACTATTATTATAAATGTGAAAGTCTATGCGTGCATAATTTTCTAGATTTTCATGTTAAAACGGCTGGACGGATTTGGACGAAATTCCGTTCACAGATATTGATGTTCTCCTGACCGATCCGGCCACGGCGGCCATTCTCATTGAGACTAGCCAACTGCGCAGGAGATATTATAGTGCATAAGTGTACGCGTAGACACAAGTGCATTCTCTATTCCTGTCACTCTCATATTCTGGTGGGACGACCACTCGACACGACCAGTGAGAGTTAAGGCGCAGGACCGACGGCTTTACGTGCTCTCCGAGGCACGGGGGTGAAACACCGTCAGCTTCCCAACTCCGGGCTGTTACTGAAGCTTACTATACAGAAAGACACAATAACTAAACTTGGCCCGACCCGGGACTCGAACCCAGGACCTCCGGGTGTGAAGCCGTACATGCTAGCCACTACACCACCGAGGCAGTTCACAGATAGACAGAATATGGCGCGCGAGCGAAACGAGAGTAATCTCTAGTAGGAAATATATTATCCATCATAGTAAAGTCAGAAAATAAATTTTTTTAGATCTTATTAGGATTTCTTTCGCTTTATAATATTTTTGTGAATAACGTGACCTCAAAATTTACGTGATCGTGGACGATGGAACATTATATATATTTAGGATTACATTTGTATTTAGGGTACACAAAAGGTCTAAACTATAAAATTCAAACTAACTAAATATAAAATTTAGGATAACCCATAACCGTATATGCGATCTCTGCTATAGTTTCAATTCGATTTCAATGATTTTTTTTTAGATTTACAATATCTTGCAGTTTTTTTTATTTTTATTACTCGACTTCTAAAAAGGAGGAGGTTCTCAATTCGTCGGAATCTTTTTTTTTTATGTATGTTCACCGATTACTCGAAGACGCCTGAATCGATTAGGATTTTTTTTTTGTTTCAAAGTTTATGCCCAGGTGGTTCCATATAAATTATATCGAAATCGGTTAAGCGGTTTTCTTTTTAAATCAACAAATAAATTATTTAAAAAAAATACTTAACCGAACATGTTATTAAAAAACTTTCTTCTAACGAATTACCTGCTTATTACATCTACAATAAAAATGAAGAAATAAAAACTTAAAAAAAACCCCTTCCAGGCACTAAAATGTAAAAAATAACTAAACGGGGGTTTTCATTTAGAATAGGTATCTAATCAGATATTTTCGAAGCTGACAATATTTTAAGATATGAATATCTAATAGGTAAATATGTGTTTTACGTATCGAAATATATTAGATTTGCTTTGCATCGGCTAGCACCGACTTCGAAAATATCTAATTAGGTATCTATTTTTAATGAAAACACCCGTTTAGTTATTTTTTACATTTTAGTGCCTGGAAGTCGGTTTTTATTTATTTTTTTAAAAGTTTTTGACGATTCAAAAGTGCATAAGCCTAATTGAAAAATGTTAAAATTCATTTCATTTTCCTTTACAATATGTCATTTCGTTACACAATCTAGGAAATAATGAAAAATTAAAACGACGAAATAGGCACAACTATCTAGGTGTTTATTTTTATATCACGCTTATATGTATACAGTATACACATTAGTTACAATCCGATAAGCAATAGATGAAGCCTTCCTTCGAATTTTCTATTTATAATTGATTTTGAATTAAGTGTTCTTCTTTTCTTAAGTTTGCGCGAATATTTCAGGTTGTATGAATACCTTACAATTATTATGATTGGATAAAAAAATTAATATATTCTACTAAATATTTAAAAAAAGGTTTTTTTCTTTTCAACCGACTTCAAAAAGGAGGAGGTTCTCAATTCGACTGTATGTTTTTTTTTTATGTTTGTTACCTCAGAACTCCGTCATTTATTAACCGATTTGGACAATTTTTATTTTGTTTGAAAGGGTATACTTCCAGATTGGTCCCATTTAAATTTCAAAAAAAAATACCACCCCTAAGGGTGGAAAAACAACTAATGATGAATTTAACCTACTTCTAATTGTCATATTGACTTGAAATTTTGCAAGTATTTCTATTTCCGTTGATAGTACAGTGGTTCGGTGTTGTTGACCTGATCTGATGGCAAGGCCAGAAGGTGGATAGGTGGAACTCTTCAACGGCTAATAGTAGATACTTTGAGTTTGGGCTTATTTTGTTTGATTTGACAAGCCTAACACGTTAGAATCCTTACTTTGCTACTACTGTCTACACTAAAAAGGGAAAAATAAAAACTTTTTAACAAAAAAATAAAAACCGACTTCAAACAAAAGCACTAAAAAGTAAAAAATAACTGATTGGTAGTTTTCATTTACTATACATACCTTATTAAATATTTTCGAAGTCGGTGTGCTTTGGCTAAGTAATTGAAGCCTACCTATTAAATACATGCCTATTCAAATATTTTCGAAATCGGTGCCAGCCCATTCCCAGGTCCCAGGCAAAGCACACCAACTTCGAAAATATTTAATTAGGTATGTATAGTAAATGAAAACTACCAATCAGTTATTTTTTACTTTTTAGTGCTTTTGTTTGAAGTCGGTTTTTATTTTTTTGTTAAAAAGTTTTTTAATCCGATATATTTTCCAAGGTACTAAGAAATTGCGCATTGTACAGCCAATAATAATTTAATTTATAGGTCATTATCTTTTATTTTATAATTAGTTACTTATTACATTACACAAATTTTATATGTTAAATTGAATATCTAATTAAATGTTTACTACTTGTTACTTGTTGTTGTTGTTGTATACTGATAATTGAATTTGTTTCAGAAATTGCGCCTTAGCTTATTTTACGTTCACGATTAGTTTATAGCGAGCAACTGCGACCTCTTATAAAAGCATGGAAGGCGACAAACGTATTTTCATGCAGGTCGTGTGTAGTGTTGCAAAAAAACTTTTTTTTTCTATCGTGAAATAAAAACATTTAAAAACAAAAAGCACGTTTTTTTCTGTAGCATGCAGTTCCGTAAAAAATCAATACTTAAAAGTTCATATTAGTTTTGTTTATTTTTAAACCTACCATACTTCATTGGTTAACTAGCACTAAGCTCACATGTAAAAATGCCGAGACTGACAAAAACAAGACTAGTGTAGGTGGCACTGATACCTAACGTGGTGCTGACATTGGCACAGAGGAAGAATACATTTTTATTTAATTGATTCATTATATTTAATTCGACTTATAATTTTAGTAAAATGTAAGAAATTAAAAAACAAACCTCAAATAAACATTTAATTTCCTATAGATTTGTTTTCTGAAAAAAAAAACCTATATTTGAAAAAAAACTTTATTCATGTTACATCACTAATTGTGTGTAGTTAACTCATGTAATCTTTTTTTTAAGAATAAACAAACATACTTATTCTTATTATGACAGTACTTTGTTTTCTTCTTATATATAGTGATTATTTATTTGGGCAACATTTTGTCATACCAAGTGTGTGTATTAAGCAACTTAGTCAGTTTTTATTATTATATTGTCATATTAGTATTTAAATTTAAAATGTTTAAGTTAGTTCAATTCTTTTATTTTGTGGCTTGTAGGAGTCCAATTTGAAATATTTAGGCAAGTTTATAATTGAGCAAAAACATAAATACCCTAAAAATGATTTTTTTTATGATGACTATTATTATTATTTGAGAAGTTACTTCACTTCCCTTATATATTATAACTCATCTTAAACATTATTAATATTACAAAGGCTATTAATTAAGATTTTAATTTTATATACAACATAATATCCTTTTATTAATTCAATTGCTTACCTGGGAATAGATACAGTCTACCAATAGGTAGGTACTCATAAAACTATGTTTGTTAAATAATAATTCAAATCAAATAAAAGTTCCTTTTAAAAACAAATAAAGAAAACAAAATTTAACTTACCTGAGGTACTTGAGTCGACTTTCCACATCCAGTTTCCCCAATCAAAATTAAAGTCTGATACTTTTCTAACAAATATAATATATGATTACGATATTGGAAAACTGGTAACTTCTGCCTTTGAGCAGTTAGTGGTAAGTGATGGTATCTATTGTATACAAAATTTGTTTTGGCATCTGTATCAATGCTTAATGCGGAGTCAACATTAGGATTAATCAATGTTTCTATCATTCCATCTTTGTTTTTTATTGGGTAGAGAGTGTCGTTACCTAAAAAATAGATAGCATATATTGTAAAAAAATAAAAAAAAAAAAACAAATAATACAACAAAAATAGTTGGAAAATTTGAAAATAAACTTCAAATTTACACAATTATTTGAATATAAAAATTTTATACATCATACATTAAAATGGTCTGTCAATTAGATATTGCGAGTTGTTTTTTGTTAATTTAATTGGAATGAAACAATCTATTAATGTATTAATATAACCTAAATTTGAGAAGAATTAAACATTGAAATTGTTTACGTTATTAAATTGCTATTTTTTTTATAAATTAGTTAAGGTTGGCTACAAATTCCGTGAAATTTCTCAAATTATAATAATCATTAATCCAACGGTAAAGTTATGTGTACTTACCCGGTTTCAGAAACACTGGTCTTTTTGAAATCATTATTTATCACAATTTCCCTATAGTAAATTATAATAACCACTTATTTATCTTAATTTATTACGTAAATAATATAAAAATTGTTCGTAGACGAATATTAAAAAATGTAAATAAACAAACTGTGTTACACTTTTAATGACATTTATTGATTTAGCCCATAGACAGCAGACTATACAGTTTATTATTTATACTATGCCATAGCCTACGAATAAATAATAAGTCTTATTGCTTTAACTCATAATTTTTTCAGTTTGTATCTTTTGGGAACAAATGATATCCATTTTTGGTATCCTAGCACTGTACAATTTTTCATTTTAATTAAATGAAAAAAAAAAGAAAAAAAAATCATTCACGCTATATAGAGCTTTACAATATACTGAGGATCATAGTGATCGCGACATCTGGCGACAAAAAAAGGAAAATGAAGCCCATTAACAATTTACGACAAAAAGCTGATTTAAATTGAATAAGATTATTTATATGTAATCTAAGATTGAAATCGAATTCATTTATTGGATAATGAATTATTTAATGATAAATTAATCTAATAAAAACATATTAGCTTTTTCTATTTTAAAATATACATTGTATTATACATATTTACAAAAGAAAACAGCCATTTTACTTTTAGTAATAAAAATAGCAGATCAAACTAGTACAAATACGAGAAGTATTTATTATTAATATTTATTGTATTCTAGACAATAGAGAGATAATATCTTGTTATTTTATTTCAGAATAGTTTTGTTTTAAAAGGTTTTTTTTATAAAAAACTTATTATTTTACTTATTAACTTATATATTTTACTTATTATCTATTTAACCGACTTCATATAAACTGTAGTTTTTTTTACTTTCTGATTTATTTCGGAAAAAACAATAACGAATTTGCCTCTATTCGAAATATTCATATTTTTATTATTTACGGATAAATGTAATAAAAAAGCTAACATATTATTTTTATTAAAAATTAGCATTTCCCGCGGCTCCGCCCGCGTTAAGATGAACAAAAACCAAATTCTTAGGTTTTACATTAGTATACTCTTACATCGCAGTTTTTATATTTTTTCTCAGAAATGAGATATTTTCTTGCGGTAAAAAGTATCCTATACGTTGACCCGGATAACCAGTTATCACCATACTAAATTTCATCAAAATCCCTCCAGTGGTTTTTCTGTGATACGGTAACAGACGGACGGACGGACGGACGTACGGACGGACGGACGAACGGACGGACGGACGGACGGACGGACGGACAGACAGACAGACAGACAGACAGACAGACGGACAGACAGACAAAAATTCTAAAAACTATAGATTCAGCCTCTGTGTCGATAATAATGTTTGTTTCAATAAGATTTTCCAAAAAATATTTAATGTACAGATTCGGCTTAGTTACAATTTTGTTATATGTATAGATTGTCTGTTTTTAAAGTTTTTAATGTTTTCTTCCACACACCACACCAAGGACATGTTGTGTTTTCTTTTCGTCCTCTGTTGTTCGTTAATATTAATTAACCTGAACTATAATACACTAAGTTTAATTTTATCTATAAGTTATTAATATATGTATCTATATAGAATGTTATATAATAAAAGAATTATTAATTTAAAAAAATGTAATAGGCTGGTCAACATTTGAGAAGGTTTTTCCATATCTCTTTGTAGTCGCTGATTCAATCCCTATAAGCTCAGGCTTTAATTAGTAGATCCTATCAGTAGTCTGCAAAAACATAATAACCGTTGTAATATCCTAATTAGAGTGAAAGCCGCGCCTACTCAAGCTTATTATTGGAATCCCTGCGAATCCTTTCTGAAATTCTGAAAAATATTGCCGGCACCGGCAATATTTGTCATTGGAAGTGTTAAAGCAACCGTTTAGATTTAAATTAAAGTGAAAAAGAAATTACCTAAGCATTTTTAAACTAAAGGTGATTAGAACGCGTGTAGACTAAAAATAGATTTGCACGGATTGAGTAATTGATAAAAAATAGCATACCTAATATTCATTTTGCGGGGTTAATGTAACACTCAGACCAATAAAAAAAGTAAAAATCTACTAATTAAGAGGTACACATACACATCTACGTGTTATTATTATTGTCGGTTTTTACTGATTACTTTACAACTTTTCCTTACAAAAGGCGGGAAAATAATAAATACACGTTCTTTTTTAGGGTTATGTAGTCAAATAGCAATTTGTTGCTTTTAATAATCTGACAATAAATAAGTAGGTACTATATTACAGCTACGATTTGCAAGTTTCTTTTGTTTTATGATTTATTCTGGCGTTGTGACACTTTATTTATGTAACTAAGTGATGAAAACCTATTATTGGAGTGCAGACATATAATTTTTGGACTAGTCTGGTGGATAGAGATGATTTTATAACTATTCAGTTCCTTATTAGTATTGTATTGCCTCGGTGGTGTAGTGGCTAGCATGTACGGCTGCACACCCGGAGGTCCTGGGTTCGAGTCCCGGGTCGGGTCAAGTTTAGTTATTGAGTCTTTCTGTATAAGTAAGCCTCAGTAACAGCCCGGAGTTGGGAAGTTGGCGGTGTTTCACCCGCGTGCCTCGGAGAGCACGTAAAGCCGTCGGTCCTGCGCCTTAACTCTCACTGGTCGTGTCGAATGGTCGTCCCGCCGGAGTATGAGAGTGACAGGAATAGAGAGTGCACTTGTGTCTGCGCGTACACTTGTGCACTATAATATCTCCTGCGCAGTTGGCTAGTCTCAATGAGATTGGCCGCCGTGGCCGGAATCGGTCAGGAGAACATCAGTATTGTATTATAATTTATAAGCTTTTATTGTCCTATTTTTATAGGTATTAAGTAATTGATGAAGGCTTTATGAGAAATTTTGTTTTCAATAAATTAAATTGTGAAAACGACAGTGGTTGCCAAGTGGCAACACACCCGCTTGGGAAACCGAGTGAAGCGGGTACAAATCCCGGTTCTCGCACCTGATTTTTTCATGTGCGAACCATTTCCAATGTGATTACCACTTAAGTTACGGTGAAAGAAAATATCGTGAGGAAACCAGCATGTCTGAGAGAACCTAGCAAGTTTTCGAAAGATATGTGAAATCCGTCATTTTGACCAGCGTGGTGGACTATGGCCTGATCACCCTCGTACACCACTAGCAGATTATAGGATTTTAAAAAGGTTGAATAATTATAAAAAATGTTAATATAATTTATTTTTATAATTTTTTTTTTACGAATTAGAACTTACACGAGCATAACGATCTACTTAAATTATTCTTGAAATATTGAAATAAAAATAGGCTTAAATAAAATGAAACGATGTTTTTAAATTATGTAATTTATTAGATTAATTACTCTTGACGACTCTAGAATTTCCACTTAAATAAGATTGCAAATAATTTTGAATATTCAAAGGAGCAACATTTTTGTTTACGAGATATGCGTACTTCACTGAAGGTACTCCGTAAAATGTGGAATAATTAGGGTTAAGGACTTTACTACCAGAATTTATAAGATATTTTGTTTGATATCGAGATTGTGCATTATATGGCAAATATGAATATCCGTCGTTTGGATTTAAACCTAATCTTTTCTGAATGCCAATCAATGATTTTGGAGAATAGTATAGGAGTGAGTTAAAAAGTTTTGCTGCAGATAGATTTGATGCTTTAGGAAGTTGGGGTGTGGAGTTTAAGGTTTGCAATACGTTTGACAGACTTTCAGATATTTCCTTGTTACCTTGTATTACCTTAGCTGCTATGAGGATACCGTTATTGGACATCAGTTTGGTCAGTTCGTCATGCTGCAAATTTTTTAATTCATCTGAAACTTCTGTTACATTTGATTTCATTAGCAATTCCTGATACAATTGTTTTGGATATTGTCCTAAGTGTGGTTTTTTATTTAATAAATCTTGTACACTATATAAGAAAGTATTATAAGGCATCTTATATTTGGCGTAGTATAATGGTTCGATAGCTGGCTTCGGTTGCTTAAGCATGTACGTTAATTCGACAACTCCGTTTCGATTTGCTACCTCGTTCAATTTAACTGAATTCGATACACCTGACTGTATCAAATTGGTTAATTGGGCATGTTGGTTATTTATATCATGTGGTAAATAGAGATTATCAGATCTGACGTAAGTATTTATGTATGGTGCATAAGCTTCTGCTATTTTGTTAGGTACAATTTGGCTCTGTTGCAAGTATTTTAAGTTTATTAAGTCATTAATTCCATGATTAGTAGAGGGATAATAAACATTATTTAAAGCGGGATTTTGAAGAAGTTGATGAAGAACACTTGAATAATCAAAACTTGGCTGTTTGTTTGTGGTACCCTTCACACTCAGTAAATTTTGGATGTCTGGTGTAACGGAATCGGTTGGCAATTTATAGTAGGGATTATTAAGTATATTGGATGGTACCATTTCATTTCCAACTTTTAAAAGATTATCAAACGGTTGTACAACTACGTTAGGCATAGGTGCAATGAGATTTCCAGACAGATTAAGAATTTCATTATTGATTTTTCCGTCGCTGTTATTTCCAGTTTGGTCATACTTCGATCTAAGCTTTTCAACTGATATATTCGGTGATTCTTGATCCATATTTGACCCTGTCATAGGAATATTCAAAGCAGAATCTATATATTGCGTCGGTATATAATTTACATCAGGTTCTTGAATGCTTTTATCTATTAAAAACTTAGAATAAGGTTGCGTTAAACTGTGCACCGACCTATCTAATTCACTACCATCCTGCGGTTTTATAAGGTTTAACATATTTTCTAAAGCAATTGCTGGTTTTGGTAAACTAGGTTTGTAATTGTTTTGAAGATTAATAATATCATATATATTTTCTTCTTTTGTTTCTTGTTTCAATCCAGGTAAATGAGTATTGTAAGTGGGATATTCCTTAAGTGACTGATCCAATAAATTATTTGAATGAGGATAAGGATTATTACTCTGAGATTCTTGAATTAACTGATCTAATAAAGTTGGTTGTTTTGTCTGCTCGGTGATCCCATATTGAATTTGTGGCAAGTCATTGACCAAACATTTTCCACTAGCAAAACAATTTCTAAATTTTTCTTTGTATGCATTATTAAGAAAATTAATAACAACATTCAATACTTCTTCACATTTACCCGGCACATCATATTCAAGGGAAATTTTAGCTTTTAGCTTGTTTTCATTCGGTTCATATGATATGGTATCCCTTTTACCTTCATTGAGAATCTTTTCTAGTTCGTCTTGTAAAATTTTAAATTTATTGTGCAATCCGAAGAAAGCAGGGTTAACAGGAGCTTTTCCTAATAATACATTAATATCAGACACAACATCTTTAAACTTTTCCGGTTCTATTACACTTGACGGTAATGATTTCGTAAGCAGATTTAGTATCTTTAATAAAATATCTGCTTGAGGACAGCTTGTAGGGAATCGATTCTCACTTCCTATTTTGGAGTTTATTCGTAATGGACGCGCGACCTGAAAATATTAAGACTAATGAATTTCGAAAGATTCCTATTAAAGAAAGAAAAATACCTATTAATTGTTAAACAATTCATAATCAAGACTTGTTGTGGTACTTTTCACATTCAGTAAATTTTGGATATCAGGTGTGAAGGAGTTGGCTGACAATGTATAGTAGGGCTTAGTCTTAGTATATTGGATGCTCCCACTTCATTTCCTACCTAAAGAAGCTTATATCCTAGTTAAGTTTATGTGCAACGAGATTTCCAGACAGATTAAGAATATCATTATTGATTTTTTTCTTCGCTATTTATATGGGGCTTGTATTAATTTTTAAACAATTAAAAAGTATTTTTCAATTTATTAAAAAAAGAATATTTCTATGAAGGAAGTCTTCTACACACAATATAAACTCAAATGAATTTAGTAACAAAACATAAATTTCGAGACACATACTTGGGGTTTGGACTTTACTGAGTTTTCTGTCCGTCTTTGTACATTAACAGGTAATGGGCTTGTTGGTATCACCTCGGAGGTAGATTTAAGAGTGACATTTTTGCTGACCTGTAAATTAACAACATTGATAACAAAATTGATATGATGCCCAATATAATTCGAATAAGACATTTTCACAATTAATAATTTCGAACTCAATTAAACTCACTTAATTGTTCATGCTAAAAAGATTGAATTTCTATGAATAATTAAAGCATAAAATTGAATTGAATTGTAAAAAACATTTACCACATCCTCCAGCAGCACAGTTGAAATAAAAGATGCACACAAAATGAAAACAGGCAACATCCTTGAATTCACTAAAGCAAATGAAGGATCTTTTCCCACCATTCTATTTAATTACGTGGTGTGAAATCGTTTCATAAACTATAATTACGTACAGTGATATTAAAAATTTTCCAATAATTATTATTTAATTCATGTACAAATTATTGAAACATTACATTATTCTACGGCTCGTGTAAAATATAATTAATAATGAGTAATATTGCAGGTTTAATCGGCCTTTTATTTTTTTTTAAATACTTAAGTAAATTATAGATTTACCGTAACTTATCACGTTATTTCAAAGTCTTGATATAAATAATTAATTTTATTAAATGTAGAAACAAAGAAGCAAAGGGGTCTGTAATTGTTACCTTGCAGCACACTTCTTTCATTTTAACAATTATTCATATGTAAGTATTACTTAAATCATCCAGACCATTTTCTACAATTACTTCTCATAAAAATACACATATATTTTTATATATTGTTAGTTTCATACGATAAACGAGCCTTAGTAGTGGGATGTCACCATGAAAGCTGGATATGGCTATCATAGGATCGCGGACTTCATACGTTATTCGATATTTACAAGTAGGTAGTTAGGCTCTCTTCCTGTAGATAATCTTCTTAATTTTTCCTCACTGTTATTATACACTCGATATATTATAATGTTGAAAATGAAATTCGCACATGAAATTCTTAAACGTGACCCTGATTTGAATTCGCTTATCTTAGTTTTCCAAAGCCATTGATCACTGCTTTAAATTATAAGTGGTCAATAAAATGGAAAATAGAGCAGTTGAAATTCAATCAAATTTAAAAATTAAGTAATTGTTTGTTGTTTTTGTTGTAACTTCAAAATTCACTGCATTATTTTCAAATCAAGTTTCATTCTTGTCTTGTATGCACGAGATATACCTACCCTCGAGAAAAAAGGATATTTTATAATCGCTTCCTTTTTCATTTTTTATGTATTTCAAATATTAACTATAAATAATTTATTATGTAGCGTAAACTTTATCCCGGCTACATTAACGAAAGGAAAGGCGATAGATAAACGGACCGACATAGATAAAATATAACTATACGTATTACGTAAGTAATATATCTTTACTCGTATTATTGTATACCATAATCATCATTAATATATCATAGTCTGTTTATTTTGGTAATTTTATTTAAGAAAAAATGTAAACTTATGTTGCTAATTATCAATGATTAGCAACATAAGTTTATAAGCACTCAAGTGCGGAAACACTTAAATTAAAGAATTCCTTGAAGTGAAATTAATTGGATCTCAATATATGTATGTATATGATAATAGACATTTCAAATTTGACACTAATCCTTGTAAATCTGATTATTATCGTTATCTTTTGAGGTAAACATTTCTTTACTATATTCTGCACATATTGGATTTCTTTCAATAAAATAGTGTGCCATCAATCTATACTTACAGAAAATATAATTCTGTGTCGAATCTGTACATGGAGGAAAATCTTATAGAAATAGTCTTTATTATCGATACAGCGGCCGAATCTATCGTTTTTAGAACATTTGTCTGTCTATCTAGGAACGCATCAGAAGAAAACCACTGGACAGATTTTGATGAAACTTGGTATGATTATAGCTAATTATCTGGGTCAACATATAGGATACGTTTTACTGCGGGAAAACATCTCATCTCTGAGAAATCTTTACAAACCGTTAAAACGTACCCAGTGGCGAACCCGAGCGGAGCGAATGTGAGTCGCTAGAATAATAATAATAATAATGAAATGGTGCTAGGTTTAAAGTTTCAAACTAAACGCAGGACCCAGGAGGCAGTAAAAGATTCCAGTTTTTGATTTTTTTCTTTAGTATTTTCGCGATATGTGGACTTGTGTTATCTTGTTGCAAAAGAGGGATACTTTTGATCTAAAATTTCCGTCCTTATTGTTGAGTATAATTGGGTTAATGGTATGCTCATAGTATCAAACCATGAAATTAAATTCTATAGAAAACAATATTCTTGATAAAACCCTAGGTGACCTTTATTACGGAAGTTTTCAAAATAATATGATAGCTTATTTTCGCATATATAAATTAGAACTTACTTGCTACCATCGTTCCTCTGCCTATTATGTAGAAAACCGAATGAAAATCCGTTCATTAGTTTCTGAGATTAGCCCGACAAACTACAAACTATGTTCGGCGGGGTATGTACGGATAACCTATACTAATAAATTGTCCTACGGATAATCTATACTAATGAATTGAGAGCCGATATTTTTTTTCGGTTATACTGCGATAACTACTGAACCGTTCGGAATAAAACTCATACCATAAGATGCAGCGTGTTTCGGAGAAGGTTTCAGTATGTGATATGTTGGTGATTAATGTACTTTGCGGGCGGAGCCGCAGGAAAGCGCTAGTACAATAATATACTGATTAAAATATTTTGTTTTGCGTTAAATAGCCAACAAACACAAAGCGGCAGACATGTTAAATGCTCTAACCCTGAACAATAAAATTATATCGATATTTACTGAGGGTAGGTATAGATACCTACTTAAGCTTCCTTAAAGCTAATATTATCTAGATACGTTCAAGACTTGACTTGATCTAATAGCAATTTTCATAATAATTGTGCTAAAATAACAGATTTCATTTCATAAAATTCTATATTTAATATATGTACATTTTATATACTAGCGACTCACCCTCGTTGCGCTCGGGCTCATCCATAGGTGATTCTTTAAATTGACATAACTTTTTTTATTTATGAACCGATTGAAATAAAATAAACACTAAATGTTAAGTGAATCATACCACAGTACTCTAATGAAAAACGCACGGACAAACAGACAAAAATTCTAAAAATATTATTTTTGCGTTAATAAAAATCCTCAACAGTTGTTTTTCTCAAATATCTTCCATGTACCTACAGACAGCGATTAGTTATTTTTTTATTGTATGTTTAGATTATTATTTTAAGGTTATGCATTTCTATTTTGATTTTGAAAAACTTTTTGCTGTTACAATTCGTTTCATAAATTAATTTAAACGTTAATAATTTAAAAAAAAACAACAAGCGATAAAAAAATAATGAACCTTTTTCTTGCATTAGTTTTAGTGCCGTGACGTCATGAACATATTATGTATTTATAATGATAATATTGAAAAAAAACATTTTAATTAATTTTAACCTTTCTTAGATATATACATGATGGAATGATGGTTGAATAATATAGATTTAAAATATATCGATATTTGTTAATGTTAGGAAAATATCAATATGTCGAATACTATCGCTGGAAGTCCAGCCGGGCGTAAAGTTAAGAGGAGCACTGGGGAGGCGGCCTTTCTCAGTGGGCCTCGAGGAGTATACCATGCACTCCTGGTACTTCTCTGATAGCAGAGAGGACGATGATGATGAGAAGATCCACGGTATATGGAGGATGGATGCTGTGTCTGTGTCTGCCTCAGACCTCAGTAGGCAGCTGTTGTAATCACATAGTTGAGACTTGAGTCCCTAATGCGTAAGATCCTGCGGCTCCCAAGATGGTTCCATTTGGTTTTAGTGGGTAATACTGGCTTTTCTGGCCGGTGAGTCACCATATTGTTATATGTGTAAATGTGTTCCCCAACATTCAAAAATGGTGGTTTGTTCGTAATCAATGTATATAGTAAAATAAAATAGCGTAATTTATTCAATACAACATTTATTAGAAATTAAACGTAAATTAAAGATACAAGATACATAGAACCAGAAAGTTAACATGATAAACCTGTGGTTAACCTGTGGTGTTTGGTTGGTTCGAGATAATCTTTAATAGCTAATTTAGAGTTTTATTATATAATTATTTTTACTGGCCATTCTAAACTGAATAAACAAGACGAAAAAAACATTAATTAACATATTCAAATGAAAATAGAAGAAATATTTAATTCATTGTATGACAACATTTAAGTAACATATATCTATAAAGACTCAATTGTAAATTATGTCTAATTTCATTTAAAATCTTCTCTTGACACTCACTTATTGTATAGTGCGTCATAGAGTTTATAACGTTTATTAGAGATATTTGTACTATTTTCTGTATTTCTTCGTCTGAAACTCCATTGCGTTTTAAATGTTCTATTAAATGTGTTATTATATCATCTATATATTTATTATGATGCACGTTATATGGAGGTTTTAAAAGGTCTAAAATATTCGGCTTTACTTCATCTGGTATTTCTGTACTTGGTGGTGTTGGTTCGTTTTCGGGTGCCCAACATGGTGGTGGTGTGTTTTCAGGTTTCCAATATGGCGGTGGTGGTGTTGGTTCGTTTTCGGGTGCCCAAAATGGTGGTGGTATGTTTTCAGATTCCGAATGTGGTGGTGGTGTGTTTTCAGGTTTCCAATATGGCGGTGGTGGTGTTGGTTCGTTTTCGGGTGTCCAAAATGGTGGTGGTATGTTTTCAGATTCCGAATGTGGTGGTGGTGTGTTTTCAGGTTTCCAATATGGCGGTGGTGGTGTTGGTTCGTTTTCGGGTGCCCAAAATGGTGGTGGTATGTTTTCAGATTCCGAATGTGGTGGTGGTGTGTTTTCAGATTCTGGATGTGGTGGTGGTATGTCTTCAGGTTTCCAATGTGGTGTTGTTTCGTCTATTTCTTCGATAGAATTATTTGGCAATATTTCGTCAGAAGGTGGTGACGGTTCTTTATTTTCATCTCTTTGTTGCTGTTTATAGCTATTAATTATTTGCCAGTATATTACCTGAAAGGTAAATAATAATTATTAAAAAAATAATAGTTAGTTTTGTCATTTATCACTAAAATGCATAAAATATAAGTGTAGGTAATAAAAATATTGTTTCGTTTAAAGTTACCTTTAATTCTTTATCAGATTCATATTTTTGGGCTTCTTGTAAATACCATATTATTTTTAAATCTGGGACGCCGAAGACCTGCAAATACTTAATAAAACCAATTAACTTTCGCAAATAGATTTTCTTCTTTTGTTTCAGTGCACTGGGATCTTCGTCTTTTGGTGAATTATGAAGGAAATGATCAAATTTGCTGAGTATTAATTGTATATTCTCGTCTATTATATTTTCCCCATCTTCTGGATTTGATTCAACTGGATTTATTTCTTCCGGCTGATTAGGTACAATAATTACTGGAGTTTCGGATAAGATTTCATCAATGTCCAGATTTTGACTTGGATTCTGATAGAAATGTATCAATTGGTTGTATTTTTCCTGAAATGATAAAAACAATAAATATAAGTAATGGATTGATTGGAATGTATAAAACTGTTACATTGTATTAGATATACATCCATTTTGATTTATCTAATAATACTTGTCTATGTAATAAAAAGTCTAAATTACCCTTAATTCTTCATCAGATTCATATTTCTGTGCTTCCTGTAAATACCATAATATTTTTAAATCTGGGACGCCGTTGGCCTTGAAATACTTAATGTAATCAATTAACTCTAGCAAGTAGGTTTTTTTCTTTTGTCTAAGAGCGCTGAGATCGTCATCTTTTGGTGAATTATGAAGGAGGTGATCAAAATTGTTGAGTATTAATTGTATATTCTTGTCTCGTATATTTCCCCATTCTTCTGGATTTGATTCATCTGGATTAACTTCTTCCGGACGATTAGGTACAATAATTACTGGAGATTCAGATATTATGTCATCAATGTCTGGATTTCGACTTGGATTCTGATAGATGAGTATCAATTTATTGTATTTTTCCTGAAACGATAAAAACAATAAATATAAGTAATGAATAGATTGGAATCTATTAAACTGTTACATCGTATTATATATACATCCATTTTCATTTCTCTAATAATACTTGTCTATGTAATAAAAATGACTAAATTACCTTTAATTCTTCATCAGATTCATATTTTTGTGCTTCCTGTAAATACCATAATATTTTTAAATCTGGGACGCCGTTGGCCTCCAAATACTTAATGTAATCAATTAACTCTAGCAAGTAGGTTTTTTTCTTTTGTCTAAGAGCGCTGAGATCGTCATCTTTTGGTGAATTATGAAGGAGGTGATCAAAATTGTTGAGTATTAATTGTATATTCTTGTCTCGTATATTTCCCCATTCTTCTGGATTTGATTCATCTGGATTAACTTCTTCCGGACGATTAGGTACAATAATTACTGGAGATTCAGATATTATGTCATCAATGTCTGGATTTCGACTTGGATTCTGATAGATAAGTATCAATTTATTGTATTTTTCCTGAAACGATAAAAACAATAAATATAAGTAATGAATAGATTGGAATCTATTAAACTGTTACATCGTATTATATATACATCCATTTTCATTTCTCTAATAATACTTGTCTATGTAATAAAAATGACTAAATTACCTTTAATTCTTCATCAGATTCATATTTTTCTGCTTCCTGTAAATACCATAATATTTTTAAATTTGGGACGCCGTTGGCCTTCAAATACTTAATGTAATCAATTAACTCTAGCAAGTAGGTTTTTTTCTTTTGTCTGAGAGCGTTTAGATCTTCATCTTTTGGTGAATTATGAAGGAGGTGATCAAAATTGTTGAGTATTAATTGTATATTCTTGTCTCGTATATTTCCCCATTCTTCTGGATTTGATTCATCTGGATTAACTTCTTCCGGACGATTAGGTACAATAATTACTGGAGATTCAGATATTATGTCATCAATGTCTGGATTTCGACTTGGATTCTGATAGATGAGTATCAATTTATTGTATTTTTCCTGAAACAATAAAAACAATAAATATAAGTAATGAATAGATTGGAATCTATTAAACTGTTACATCGTATTATATATACATCCATTTTCATTTCTCTAATAATACTTGTCTATGTAATAAAAATGACTAAATTACCTTTAATTCTTCATCAGATTCATATTTTTGTGCTTCCTGTAAATACCATAATATTTTTAAATCTGGGACGCCGTTGGCCTCCAAATACTTAATGTAATCAATTAACTCTAGCAAGTAGGTTTTTTTCTTTTGTCTAAGAGCGCTGAGATCGTCATCTTTTGGTGAATTATGAAGGAGGTGATCAAAATTGTTGAGTATTAATTGTATATTCTTGTCTCGTATATTTCCCCATTCTTCTGGATTTGATTCATCTGGATTAACTTCTTCCGGACGATTAGGTACAATAATTACTGGAGATTCAGATATTATGTCATCAATGTCTGGATTTCGACTTGGATTCTGATAGATAAGTATCAATTTATTGTATTTTTCCTGAAACGATAAAAACAATAAATATAAGTAATGAATAGATTGGAATCTATTAAACTGTTACATCGTATTATATATACATCCATTTTCATTTCTCTAATAATACTTGTCTATGTAATAAAAATGACTAAATTACCTTTAATTCTTCATCAGATTCATATTTTTGTGCTTCCTGTAAATACCATAATATTTTTAAATTTGGGACGCCGTTGGCCTTCAAATACTTAATGTAATCAATTAACTCTAGCAAGTAGGTTTTTTTCTTTTGTCTGAGAGCGTTTAGATCTTCATCTTTTGGTGAATTGTGAAGGAGATAATTAAAACTGTTGAGTATTAATTGTATATTCTTGTCTCGTATATTTCCCCCATCTTCAGGATTTGATTCATCTGGATTAACTTCTTCCGGTCGATTATGTACAATAATTACTGGAGTTTCGGTTATTATGTCATCAATATCTGTAGTTTGACTTGGATGTTGATAGGAATGTATTAATTTATTGTATTTTTCCTGAAACGATAAAACAAGAAATATAAGTTTTGGATTGTTTGGTATCTACAAAAGTGTTATATTGTATTTGCTATACATTCTAGTTGGAGTACTAAATATTTTAATGAATCTGATATTTCAATTATATAAGCAAATAAAAACATAGTAGCGTATAAGTATATATAAAAATATTACCCTAATTTCAGCATCAGATTCATATGATTGCGCTAGCTCTATATAATATAGAATCTCAGAATCTGGGACACCCATTTCTTCTAAATATTTAATAAAATAGTTCAACATTGTTATGTAGGTTTCTTTCTTTCGCTTAAGAGCGTTTAAATCTTTATCTTTTGGTGGATGATCAATGAAATAACTGAAATAGCTGAGTATAGATTGTACATTCATTTTTTTAATGTTATCCTTATTCTTTTGATTTATATTGCTTATGACAACTTTTTGCACATTATGATTTAAGTTATTATTAATATTTAGTTTTTTATTGATATTCAAATTAATTTTTTCTTGTAAATTTTTCTTGGGCGATATTAATGCCAGTAGATCAACTTCTTGCTCATTTTCTTTAGAAAGATCTGTATTAAGTGTTGTATTTTTATTATTCTTTGGAGAAATTTGAGCATTAAGTGCGGATTGTAAGTCCATTATTCTCTTGCTTTGCTCATTTTTCTGTTGTATATTGTCAAGTTCAATTTTTTCCAAATTATCATATACATCATTATTAATATTTACAGCTGAATTGACATTTGAATTCACATTTCTTCTTGTATGGCCATTAAAGGGCAAAGAATTAATAACTGATGATTGACTTTCTTTATTAGTTTCTAAATAGCTATTACCAATATTTTTTTTAGATAATTTAGCATTAAGCTTAGAGTTTATATTCATTCTTCTTCTATTTAACTCATTTTTCTGTTGTACATTGTTAATCTGAACTTTTTGCGTATTATTATTAACATTATTATTAATATTTACATCGTTATTAGCATTTGCACTTTCTTCATTCTCTATAAATTCTTGAAAAATATTATCACTGTCTAATTTTTGATCCGGGTAATTATTTTGTAGATAGCTATTAATTGATTCAATGAAATTTGCCTGAAACGTATAAAGAAAATAAAATCTAAATGGTCTCTATAAAACATATTTGTCATTGTATTTAAACATAATAAAATATTATTTCATTATTATTATTATATATTATTTAAAATATTATTTATACTTATTGTCTAAAAAATTATTATTATAATATATTAAAACCAAATGAAAATCATTATCACCTTTAATCTTGAATCAGATTTCTTATTTTCCTGTTGTATATTATTAATTTCGACGCTCTCCTTGTTATTACTTACATTATTATTGATATTTATACCTGAATTCGAATTTGAATTTCTTCTTCTTTGGCCAGTACCAGTTTCCACATTAGCAAGATCATTACGTACAACCTCTAAATTATTATAAGGCAAATTGTTCTCTATTATCATTTTACGTCTTTCTACCTTATTTTCATGTTTGGAATTTCCGTGATTATAATTTTGATGTTTCATTGGAGTTTGCATCATATAAGGTATAGGTCTGTCGCCACTAAAAATAAAGCTTTGGTCCTTCAAAATATCGCGATCAGCAGCATGTTTTTTATGTCTTTCGGGTATCTCATCATTAGTTTTTTGGGCCTGAAACAATAAGTAATTTATTTTATTTTATTATCTACATTCTGAGACAACCCGATTAAGGAAGAGAAATAGAATTTATCACGTCAGTTTACTACTATAGAGACACAATGTTTGAGAATTGAGAACTAACATACCTATTGACCATGGACTGAAGTTAAATTGATTTTAAAACTGGGGGTCCTTCGTGGCCACGACATCGGTAATAATTTTGCTGATTTCGATTACTGTGTCTAGTTTAAACTTTTATATTCAATTAATGAATGCATTTTAGTGTTTCTGTATATTTGTAGCTATTTATTTGATTTTTTTAAATATATAAAATACTTGTATAATGTGCTACCACAGAAATCTTAATAATAAGGTTAGCTTATTATTAAGATTTCTGTGCACGTTACGTATAAGATTAAGACGTGCCTTCATTTTTTATTGCTCCTTGTTCTTTTAAGTCAATTAATTTTTATATGGGACACCTTTTTGCAATAGGTATAACTTATCAATAGATATAATAAAATTCTGAGTCGAATCTGAACATTAAATATTTTTGGGAAAATCTTATTACAATAGTTATTATTATCGATAAAAAGTCCGAATTTATGTAGTAGTTTTTAGAATTTTTGTCCGTCTTTTTTTTAAGTTACACCGCAATCGGTTAAAAATTAAAAAAAAAGAACTTACATTACTTACTAACGCTGTTATAATTTTGAGGACACAAAAAACAAAAAACGACTTCATATTTCAAATAAAGGCAAACAGCGAATAAAAAAGAAATAGATTTATACTTGACAAAATGTAGCGTGACCAAATAAAAATATTGTATTATATATTGCCGTGTAATTATCTACGGAGGGCGTCAAATTGATTTCATTTACAACAGCTTAGAAGGTAATGTGTCTAATAAAGGCTTGTAGTTACATGAAAAATACTTTTAGTTTCCTTTATTGGCGTTAATAATGGCTGAATTTAATTTTTACACGCGGTTTCTACCTCGTGGAAATTGTTTTTTTTTCTTTTCTATAACGTTGTTAGCCAGCTTCATATTTTTATAGTAACTAATGCTTTCTTGCTTTACTTATTTTAAATGAAGTTTGGCTTCATTCGAATTTTTAAAAGCGCTCTTGAATTGTCAACCTATTTTAAAAATCTTCAGTGTAGTTTGTTGTTGAGGAAGATATATAGCACCGGCTAAAAGCTTGGTTCTGCATAGCCAGTGAGAATCTGTTTTTAAGTATTATGTAATAGTATTTTTCAGGCGCTTACAGGCAGCGGTAGCCTAAAGGTAACGCGCTCGCCTAGGAAACTGAGTGACGTAGTTTCAATGCTCGGGTCTCGCATCTCTGATATTTTCATGTCCGAATCATTTCCATCATGATTACCACTTGTCTTACGGCGAAGGAAAATATCGTGAGGAAACCTGCTTGTTTGATAGAACCTAGCAAATTTTCGAAAGACATCTGGAATCCGCCAACTCGAACTTGGTAAGCGTGGTGGATTATTGCCTGATCACACTCATATTGAAGAGATGCCCGACGCCCGTGTCCAGTTAAAAGATGTAAAAAACCTGATCTCATTGTCTTTTAGTGGCCCTACTTGCTGTGCCAGCAGTCGCGATTTCGAATTCCACTGGAGGCATTCATTTGTGTGATGAACACGAATGTTTGTACTCCAGTCATAGGTATCTATATTTATAATATGTATGTATTTAAAAATATGTATGTGTAGTGTATCAACTATCTGGTAACTATAACACAGGCCTCGTAACTTACCATGGAACTAGATGGTGCTGTGTATTAATGTGTGTGTGTGTGTGTGTTTCTACCTATATATACAGAAAGTATGAGTAAATGCATTCCCCAACTATGAAAAAAGGTTATGCCTTATCTATACGTTATGCAAGGCAGTGGTCAACCATAATGCGCCCGATGGATCTTTAAGAATTTCATGTACAAATTATTTTCAAAATGATTACTACTTGCTTCTGTAGTGAAGAAAAACATTGTAAGGAAGCCTATACGTATATACATTATAAACAATTATTGCCATTCAACGGGGGATTGTGGCTATCATTCTTGCCACTATTCCACGCGGACATGACTTGTACAGTAATAACTAAGTGTACATTTGTTTTGTATACGAGTATATAATTAAGTATATTTGTAATTTTCTATATTGTAAATAAAATTTTTCTATTAATGAATGTAAAAAAAAATTGCTAGTTTAAAAACAATCTATATCGAAAATCATATGAAGTCCGCTAATCCGCACTTGGTCAGGGTGATGGACAACGGCCAGGTACTCGTCGCATGATATGTGGCCTGCATTCAGTAGAACGACGTCATTATAGTTTAATTATATTTTATAATACATATTTATAAGTACTAACGAGATAGTTCTATAAAAATATGGTGATTTTTGATGTTGTGTGTGACTTGTGATAGTGGACTGAATACTTTAATATAATATTTCAGTCCAGGACATGTGATCTGTATTTCGCAGGGATGTTGTAATATTAAGACGGGGGAAGGTTTTGTTGGGTCTTAGTGGGTAGTACTGGCTTTGCCGGTGAGTCCCACACCTCGTGCGTAAATGCATTTCCCAACGTTAAAAAAAAGGGATGTTGTAATATATGCCAGCGATTTCAACACTCCATTGCACAACACCGATAGAAGTCCTCTATAGGTCTCACAGTCCCCTGCCCATAAACGGTCACTTTCTCGACGATATAGTATCGCTTTTGTAAGCAAGTAAGAATCGCACTGTGCCCTGCCCTATCAAGGGTCTATTAAGGTAGGGTTCACATGATGGGTTTCTCTTACAATAAAAAGGCTATAGGTATTAGCTAGGTGTTAGCTATTTGGATTTGACGAGAGACGAAGTTACAAACATCCAAAAATCTCCATAAACTTGTGTATTTATAACATTATTAAAAATAAATGCAAATAACTTGCACGCTTTAAATAATAAATTTGTTACATTGATCGGTCATTATGAGAAATTCTTACACTTTTTCTTCACAATTTATTTCATTAACTCAACATAATGAGCAAATTTTTACATTTTTACGTGCAAGTGTTTTTGAAATCTAATTTATAAATATCTCGTGTCACGGTGTTTGTGGTCACACTCCTCCGAAACGGTTCGACCGATTTTAATGATTTTTTCGTATATTTGGTAGGTATGAGAATAGGTCGTAAAGTATTTTACACTCTCCTACCCCCACCCCCTATTTTTTAATCGCGTTTTTGTATTGTTTGTACGAACAATCCGTATTTATAATATTTAATATTATAAATGTGAAAGTTTGTGAGTATGTATGGATGTTTGTTACTCTTTCACGCCAGAACGGCTGAACGGATCTGGATGAAATTTAGCACATAGGCTACTTTTTATCCCGGAAAAATATATAGTTGCCGTGGGATGGATTTGTTTTTGTTTTTCTAGAGATGAACCCGAGCGAAACGGGTGAGCCGCTAGTATTATATAAATTAATACTATATAAATTAATATTGTACAACATAAAATCTTTTTTTTTTGTAGATAGAACGTACCGGCGTATACGCGGTTTCTGCTAGTATACAAATAAAGGTTTTTAAGTATGATTATGTTATTAGTGTACTAATATATACAGGCCATGGACGAATTCGTTCATGATACAGGCTTAACCTATATCTTAACCTATATAGGGGCATAACTACATACTTCATTACAAAACAGCTCTGTAAAATAAAACACTTTAACACGTTCATGTTCAGCCATTTTATACATTCTCTGAATACTTTCATAGATTTACGCGAATATTTGACCTTTTAAATAAAACTATCTTTTTGGATTTTTCCACAGACTTGTTTTGATTTTTGGTTTTGATGATTATTGTAAAGCATTCGAAACGTCGGGAACCAAAAAACAAAATAAATCTGCGAAAAATCCGAAAAGATAGTTTTATTTTAAATATTCTCGGAACAAATGAATGTTAGATTTTGTGTTCTTCAATGCGGCGGTAATTTAGCAGTTTGCAAACTTTGATTACATAATCCATAGTTTGATATTATAAATGTGAAAGTAACTCTGTTTGCGATAATTTGATAAGTTTGTTCTGCGTATTCGTGGTGCTGTTTGCATTTTATTTTGAAACTAGCGACTCACATAGATTTCTCACAGATGAGATATTTTCCCGCAGTAAAAAGTCAGTTAAAAATCCTATATGTCGACCCGGATAACCAGCTATCTACACAGCAAGTTTCATCAAAATATGGCCAGTAGTTTTCTCGTGATGCGGTAACAGACAGACAGACAGATAGACAAAAATTCTAAAAGCTATAGATTCGGCCTCTGTATCGGTAATAATGATTATTTCAATAAGATATTCCAAAAAATATTTAATGTACAGATTTGGCTTAGTTAGAATTTTATTATATATGTATAGATTTGTACGCAAATTTGAAAGAGTTCTAAATTCATTCGAAGCCTAATACAGCGCCATCTATCGTATTCCAGAAGTTCTAAATAAACCTTATTCAACGCCATCTATCGTGCTGCAGTAGTTCTAAATAAACCTAATACAACGTATTATAAGTCCTAAATTAATTCGAAGTCTAATTCAACGCCATCTATAGTCTACTGGCGCAAAAAATATTTATATCACTTTCGTACTATTTTAGCATTATGTACATATTTGTGTTTTTACTAAGCCACTTAAATCTACCTTCCACAAAATAAAATACATGATTTAAAAAAAAATGAAATAATGAAAAGAAATATACCTTTTATAAAACAAAATTTATATAATACATGATAAGACAAATTGCATTAAAGGAACACATATTTTCTTACATTATGTTATGTTTTTCCTTTTTTCAAAAATTACTCTCAATAAAACAATATATTTTCGATTTTTTTTTAATAAAAGCGAATATATCTCAGGCGAAGGGCAAACCCAAAAAAAAATACAAAATCATTTTATTTACAGTTTATACTTATTTTATATAAATTTTTAAATCAATATGCAATACAGTATTTGGATTATAAAAACATAATAATATGTAACAAATAATAACACGTTTTATTTATATATTTAAAAATTCAAAAATAACAAATTCTGACTATTATAACGAATCATATCTGTATTTTACTGTCCCTTATGAAATGTAGCAAAAATTGATTTTTCTCAACATTCTCAATGACTTTTTATTTTCAGTAACAAAAAATATAATAAAATAACATTAGAAAAAAATTTGTACATGAAATTTTTCAATCTTTTATACAAAATCATTCTTTTTTAAACATTTTACCCAATTATGAAAAAAATCACTCATAGGTAAATAAAATATTACCCTTAAAGTATTAAGATACTACTTTAGACGTGAATATTTCAATCCAATAGCCATCTGGGTCTTGTATGAATGCTAAACCCTTCATTTTACCATCTTGAGGCTTTTTAATGAATTTAACTCCATGCTCTTCAAATCTGCAACAGAAATATAAATATGTAGAAATATAAGTATAATTAAAATGGCGGTAAAAGTACATAAAGAAAATTAAAAAATTAATATAATCAAAATTTTCTCAGAATTTTTTACACCGTCAGGGAATAATGACTAAGCGGATAATAATTGAAACTATATTTTCCGATTTTTTCACGGATTTATTTTGATTTTTAGTTCCCGTCGTTTTGATTAGTTTACAGCAATAATGGCTACATACCAAAGATAGAAAAGGGCCAAAAGATTATTTTTAAAGAAAAATATCAAATATTCGCATATCTAATAAAGTATTACATTGTCATTGAACTTAAAACTAAACTTGTAATTAATCATATTACCAAAATCTACAAATATTCTTTTGACAAACTACATTGTGACAACTACATTCTTGAAGTAAAAAAAAAATTGTTGCAAATACTCTGTAAAAGTATAAACATCTATTTGGGTTGAATTAAGATTAATATTAAGAGGCTATTTAATTATTCTAATACATAATGTTAATGAAACAAATTAAAAAATAATAAATTGTTATTGTCATTAAGCATTTTCTGATTCATTATCTAGGTATCCTAAATATAAGTATCCTTATAAATTCTAAATATTTAACCTTGGTGGTCTAGTGGCTAGCTTGTACAGCCACAAATTCGGAGGTCCTGGGTTCGAGTCCCGGATCGGGCCAAGCTCAGTCATTTTTGTCAAGAAATTCTCAGCAATAGCTCGGAGTTGGAAAGTTGGCGGTATTTCACCCCCTTGCCTCGGAGAGGAGCTTTATCCTCAATATTATATTTTGGTTTTATTTTTAATAATGCTTTTTTTTAACAATTAATCCAATTAAAAATTTGCAAAAAATCTTAATTAAATGAACAATTTACCCTACCATTAAAACATCTTACCTCTTACAAGCCTCATCAACATCTGGAACTAATATACCAATATGTCCAAAGCCCCGAGGATCTGAATTGCCATTGTGGTAGGTTGAATCGTCGCTCTCTGTTCCCCAGTTACTGGAATAGAGGAAGTAGGGATATTTATTTCATTCCCGCGGGAAAACACGAAGAGGGCCACCTACCACCGCCCACCGAAGTGGGCCACCTCCCTGTGCGTTTCTTGGCTTCGCGTCCGGTTGGATTGCCGGGCACTACTGAGCCCCTCCACCACGACAAGGTGAATGCACGTTGGAGGGGATCCCATATGTCAATGAATGGACTCCCATATGTTACTGGATCAACCAAATCTGTTCAGTAGTTTTCTCATGATGCTTTCCCAGACATAGACAGACAGACAAACAGACAGACGAAAATTCTAAAAATTATATTCAGTCTCTATATCTATAATAATGACTATTTCAATAAGATTTTCCAAAAAATATTTAATGTACAGATTTGACTCAGAATTTTGTTATATGTATAGATTAATGAGGATATATTAGAACTTACTATGTCAATTCTAATGTTGCCTTTCTCGTCATAGCCCATAAACTCCTTTCAGCTTCATCCTTCGGTACTTCATTAGGGTTCTCATATCCCATGAAGAATAGAGAGAATTTCATTTCAGGAAAATGTTTTTGCTTGAGTAAAGTCATACCGAGGACACCAGTGTAAAATGGAAGAGACTTTCTGGGATCTTTGATCCTGTACATTGTTTGTTGGAACATGAAATCCTGAAAAATAAGTTCAAAAAAACATATTATTTTATTAGAAACAACAGGTTTGTAGTGACCCTACTCGCTGTGCCAACGATCGCGGGTTCGAGTCCCCCTGGGGGCATTCATTTGTGCGATGAGCACGAATTTTTGTACTCCAGTCATGGGTGTTTATATTTATAATATTATGTATGTATTTAAAGTTATGTGTGTGTAGTGTATCGACTATAACACAGGCCTCATAGCTTACCATGGAACTATGTGGTGATGTGTGTTAATGTTCCAACATATTTATTTATTATTTTATTGGAAGCATTGTTTTAATGATGTTGTTTCTTCAGGATAAATATGTAAAATTCTAAGAGCTTGTAGAATAAATATGAAAGTTTAGTCTAAACTTTTTTCTCTCATAAATACAACTTGGATTTGGAATTGTTTTGGGATCATTTTAGGTACATTGTTATATCGCTAATAATAGATAGCTTATATTACAAGTCATTTTGATGTGCGAATGCCACCTAAGTTGAAGGGTCTATACGGATGTAGCACATGTGATGATAAGAGTGTTGGAATTGAAGACAAAGACCAAAAAAAAATAGATATGAGGGGGATGAGTAATAGTGGAGTCGAATAGGAAGACATACTGCGCTAAACCCAAGTAATTTGGGTCTCGGGTTATTCTTAACATTATTTCTCTAAACTTTCTAATTACAATGTTCTGACTAAATTTTAAAGTTAATAACAAAAATAAATAATGAAAATTTCAAGTTTTTATTTTCAAATACAGATCATAATCAATAATTTATTATTTTGTTTATCGCAACAATATTATCAATAGCACTTGGTCGTAGCCAAATTTGCCAAATCATCGTAAGATAAGATTAATCATTTCAAAACTTGTTATATAATGTATTTATTGCTACTGTTCTATAAATGGTTAAATTCAGTAATATTTAAGTTTTAGTGAATGATTGTATTCAATTTCAAAAAATATTATCTTTATAGAGTAACAATTATTACAATAACAATTTTTGCCTGTTTCTAGTGTGCGGCTTTACTAATATGAAAAAAAAAATTACTGTTAAGCCTAAGATATAAAACAGCAGAAAATTAAGTTTTTTTTGTATTGTTTTAATTTTTTTGGACAGAACCCTAATTCTTTTTCTAAAATAAATGTAGCTTAAGTTACTTTGTATAACATCAGCTATCGGTCAGTTAAAATCTCGTCAAAATCAGTCCAGCTGTTTCGAAGATTAGCCGGAACAAACAGACAGACAAAAAAATTAAAAATTGGGATTTTAAGTAGGTACTGTATATAATTTCATATGCATTTAATAAAAAGCTTTTATTTCGACATTACAAACAGGCACTTCGATTTTAATTATCTGTATAGATAAGTATAACATATAAAATATTAGCCCGGTAACAAATCTTTATTGGGTTATCGCCAAAGGTCAAATACTTTTGGTTAGTTATAATATAGTTAATAATAATTACCTTAGTTGATGGATCTGGTGTTTGGCATAAAGATTCGATTTCTTGCGGCGAAATACCTTCGCTGGCCATGGTTCTAGAACATTTATGGTCAAATTTAAATATTTATAGTTAAGAGTTAGAGATTGAATTTCATAACGAAAAATAATGATGTATTATTTATAATTATTTACCTGGTTACTTGATGACACGTTAGATAATTAACGCGGAAAGCCTTTAAAAGAGGAAAGATTGGCGACCGAGCCGAAAACAGAAGTGACATGTCAAACAAAACAAATGTCAATGCTGATTAGACGTTTGTTGATAAATATATAACAGATTAAAAATAAGATATATCCAGATAATTAAATAAATTAAGATAAAAAAAACGAATTATTTATAATTCCTCCATGATCATAAAATATAATACCCTAGTTTTCTCTTTATAAACATCCGGAATAGTAGATTCTATCTAACAAATACATCTTTGATTCGTCCACATGGAGAATGTGTTATGAGAGAGTCCTGTTTTTTTATAGATTTTAATACTTGCGGTTAAGTACCTGTACATCCTAATCTGCACCTATCTCAAACACGGTCCATTTTATAAAATATTGCTATAAATGGATTTTTAAGATTTTAAATTTCCGTACCAATTTTACTTTTTACAAAGAGAACAAAACATTACAATAAATATTTACGTGACCTTTAAACCAACGATAACTTGAGGTGTCACCAGGTTTAAATATGAATTTTGAGTGAACATATAAAATTAAAAATGCTAAAACAAGGCATACTGAGGCCGAACCTCTTATTGTGTCTAGACTATAATTAAATGTAATAAAATTAAGTATATTTAAGTACCTATTTAAATCTATAAATCAATACTACATTAAATTTGAACACCATAACATAGAGAAATATTGATGACAATAATAGGATAAAATTAAATATAAATAGATTCAATACTTATAACTTTAATTTATAGTAAATGATGTGTTGAAAATGATTTAAGGTGGAATAAGATTTTCTTTGTTGGTTATTTTCAGAACTGAAATGAGTGTTTGAATGAGTTGTTACTTGGTGTATATTTTTAGAGAATTGAATTGGCTTAACAAATAAACTAGGTCCAAAATATTTTACTTAGCAGCCATGAGTCTACCGCTAGTTCACAAAAATACCGGACTACTCCTGAGAAGAACTGGCAAAAAACTCATTTAAACTAAAAATGAAAAGTGAGTGAGTAAAATGCCAGTAAGGAATCTTCTCACTATCAAATAATTAAAGTGTTATACTATAAATATCTTCAACAGCTTTGTATATTTTAGTATTTTTAAGTAAGAGACTTGATAAAACTATCTGTATGTTTTCAAATTAATGTAACTTTTCATGTAATGAGATAATAGTAAACAACAAACAAGTAAAACAGCTATTTTAATCTCTGAAAATAATAATAACATAATTTTTAAATAACAAATACATCAAGAAATTTCATATTTTTTTACTGAGTTATAAGTGATATACCTAATTAATTGGTTTATGGCACTAATTAGTTTGTAAGTAATATTTTTCATATAAATATCTGAGCTCCTCTAACCACACAAGATCTCTTTCAGCAGACGTAGTCCTACATTGATAAGCAGAAATCATTCTGACATCTCTTAAATCATCTATAAAAATATCACCAATAACACTTATATAAGATCCTATTTGAAAATCTATAGGATTTTTGTGCTTATTCTCAATAGAGTTTAATAAACCTGACATAGTAACTGCATTACGGTTTCCAGATCGAGAAGCCTTAGCTAAACTTTTCACTAAATCCTTATAGGTAGTTTCGGATAAATTGGTATTATTTTTAGTCGTATCGTAATAAACCTGTACACAACCAGTTGGATCACTCAGTTCGAAGTTTGTTCTGTTTGATGTTGTATTATATATAGAAGTCACGACGCCATGTATCATGATATTCTTGAATTTGTTACGAAATATTGTATAAATATATTTGTTTTCTTCAGAGCGTTCCGCACGAAAAATATCTTGTATGTATAACTTTAAGGGGTTCATAATCACATCATACTACTATTTATTCCGTTAACAAAACTTATTTATGGCGGGTCCAGGTACTTCAACTTCGTTAAATAATAATAAATTAAAACTAGATATAAAAAAATAAACATTTTACTCTTTCAATGTCAAATTAAACGATTTTGGCGGTTATTCATCTGTCACTTCTGATGACGTTTGATATTTGATTTAAATATGGTTTTGACAGTAGTACGGTACTGCCAACGTTACATGTAAACTTAAATAATTAGCTGTAGAAGTTACATCTAGGCCTTAAATTGAGTTCTAGATTTTAATAAGATCAAAATTGTAATTTTAGTAAAATGGCCTGATATAAGGTAATCTGAAGTATTTCGAAACTACGTTACGAAAGTTATGATTGCATTTTTTATACCATGTTTTTGTTAGTTCGATTATACTGAAAGTGATTCTGTCGGGGGAAGTAATTATATCAATTTCCATCATTTCCATACCTTATAGAGTTTGAAGTTCCTGAAAACACGTGATAAAAAAGGACATTTCAACACTCATGTTGTGCAATAGTATTTGTAAAAGAAAGTTATTTTGAATACAAGATTGATTATTATTGGCGACCAAAAATCCGACTGATTGACCGATTAAAATTATTATTATAGGAAGTTATGGAGCGATTGTAACAAAACTGATACTTATTATATTAAATGATGGTATTTTTTTTTAAATAATGAACAACATAAACTCAGTTTAAAAATTATTCAACCTGAGTCAACAGGAGGAGGCAGCAGATATTCTACATTTTTTTTATTGTGTGTAATGACCCCTATACATTTATGTGTATAGAGGTTTTGTTTATTACACATGAGTATACAATTAATATACAATTCGTAACAATCATTATTAAATAATTATAAAAAATATTTCATGTACAGATTTCACTCTGTTACTATTTTATTATTAAAAGCAGTACACAATAGTGTATACCCCAAAATGAAAGATATTAAATTTTTTGTCTGTATACATGTGTGCATTTTACGCAAAAAGTACTGAATGGTTTTTACTTTTCACTACAGGTAAATCTTTCATTGGAATGGGAAACCACAATAACTGCTCGGCCGAAATTCCTTCATACGATTATAATTATATCATATAAATAATACTACATTTTGTTTTAAGTTATTTATTACACAAAAACTATTATTAGCAGAGCTATGATTTATAATCATTTAATAATTAATAGCTAAAAAATCTCTTATTTTCATGGGAAAATGCCAAAATCTAGTGCGAATGCAAATCGCACATCATCTGTACATACATATGTACATCTGTCTGTACATAATATAAAACATACAAGCAACAATGTCGCTGTCGGCCTCTGTCTGTTTCTCTGCTTACTTCATCTAAGCCAGGCAACAGATTTTGCTACAGTTTTCACTCATAGAATATTAATAACAATGTACTATAAAATATAAATAGTATGTTTTAAAAAAGCCCACAGAAAAATCTACGAGAGTATGTGTCAATCTCATCTATAACGCTCATAATAACAATTTTTGTCTATTTAAAACGTATAGGGACGGGACCTAAACGGGACGCACCCAAGCGAAGCGAGGGACAGTTGCTAGTATCAGAAAAATTGATTAAAAAATAAACTATTTGTATACCTACAAACAATTGAAAATTATGCATATATATTAGTTTTCTTTTTTCTATACCTATAGTAAAATATTAAAACTGTCTAAGCAAGGAAAAATTAATTGTGCCTATCAAAATCAAATTAAGTTTCTAGAAGTTTTACATTTTCGCTAATTTTAACCTTTTTCAGCTACAAAATAATATTATTTACTTTATTGTTAAGAAAAGCTTTACATGGATTTAAGTTTATATATTATTTTAGATACAGTAAAATATATTTAAATGTTCATCTTAAAAACTCACCGTTTATATCCATAATATAATAAACAAGACAAGAAGTTCGTAGTTCGTATCTCGAGCGAAGCGTCAATTATGCTAACTACCCGTCTCACCCGTCTGCGCGCGGTTATTCGTGTTTCAGACGATTAGTGCCGTAACTTAAGTTAAGTCGATACTTTGTTTTATCGATAATACTCAATTGGTGCCTATTAAAAAAATCAGAAATACTATAATAAATAAAAAAAATCACAGTGATCTTTGGAAAGCAAATATATTTTGGTTTGTTTGCTTAATAGTCAATCACGCAATACTAAACGGACCAAATTATAATAAATAATAGGTTATAGGTCCTATTTAAGTAATTTAGGTTTCTTTAGAAGATGATTTTAAAATTAGAATACACATAAATGTTAGATTTTTTAATATATATATACATATATATATCTATCTTTATTTTATAGGTAATAATAAATTCAAGGCAAATTCAATACCATGAAAACCGAAGTTTGATACTTAATATAAGGCGAACATCAACTTACAATTATTATACTCCGGTTTCCGTCTAACTTTAAACATTACAATGCATTTTTAGTTTATAAAAACATCGATAAAACTTTCACTACAGAATCTCTCTGAATATCTTGTTAAGGCGAATTGAAATTGACTGTTCAAATCCAGCATTATTTTCTTGTATCGATAGAATAGGTTTTTTAATGTACATTACTACTTTTGTTGTATAATCATAACTTTTAAATAACGATATAAGTTAATCTTTTACTGGTTATTTAATAAAAACATTTTTTGAACTTTTACTTTACTAACAAGCATGTATAAAATATATGATAATAACGTTACTAAACTGATGATTCATTTACGTACGAGTAAATCCATTCAAACTACCAACTAAATAGTACCAGGTCCAAACTACATAATATTATCTTGTTTAATAGGGAAATAGCTGCCACTTACTTTATCTGAGGTCGGGAAGTGGAAGGGGGGAGTTTTTAAAGGTAAAAAACGGATTCTCGATTTCCGGAAAAAACTACAAAGTTAAATGGCAAAGTTGTAGGTAATAAGAAGATCTACAGCATTTCTATTTAAATTTTTTCCACATAATCTTAAAACTTATGTGAAAAATTCAAATAACCAAGTTTTTGGCTTTTTATTTTTATATTTCAAAAAAAATGTTTTTTTTTTTCACGAAATTTAGTGAAAACTTACCTTTTTATGTCCCAAACACACTGTAATTTTTTTGATTTAAAATATTTATTTTTTCTGCTTATTTTGACTTAATATCGAAAAGCACCCTAATTTTCAAACAAAAAT